AAGCATCGGTGGCCTGCTCTCGAGTTGCCATAGGCGAAGGGGATGGGAAACTGATGGAGCAGCACGGCAGCCACAAAGAGAAGCACATTCCAGGCATATCTTTCTCAAGGCTGTCTCCCAAGTTACCCGCAGCAGCAGCAGCCGGAGGAGTGTGATCTCTACAGCCTGCGCAAGTGCTCCATGGGAGAACATGACTTGTGACACTCTCTGTGGGGGAGGGGGAAAACTGGCTCATAATTGGGCCCTGAATTACGTGGGGGTCAGAGGTAGCTTCACTTGGGTGCATGCCGACATGCTGCTCCTAATAAATAAATGAAGGGCCGCCTGCACCGCTGGCTCAAGAAGGAAAAGGGGGGGGATTTGACCCACCATTTGGGCATCCTTTGGGCCGCGTTGTCCGGGATGGGATCCGCTGAAGGTCCGCTTTCATGCGTGGCCGGGTGAGACCGCGATCCTTCTGCAGAGTCTCCAGAATATCACTGACGGAGCTGACCAGCCTCGCTATGTTGCTCTGGCTTTCGGAGAGCAGCTGCACGTAAGGAAGAAAGAATAAATCAAGATTCTTTCACTTACTCCTTCCTCCTTCTTCTTCTTCTACAGCTATTAAGTGACTTCCACCCTACTTTGCGACCTTCCGTGCCACCGTTGTTAAGGGAAATCCCTGTGGTTGTTAAGCGAGTAACATGGTTGTTAAGGGAATCTGGCTCCCCCTTCCCCATCCTTGACTTTGCTGGCTGGAAGGTCACAAATATGAGTCAGTTGCCACAGTCATAAATGCGGCTCAGTCACCAAGCATCTGAACTCAGGTCCCATGGCCACAGGGATGCAGCAGGGATTGTCAGTGGGAAAGGCACTTTTTCAAGTGCCGCTGTGACTTTGAACGGTTATAAGTTGAGGACTGCTTGCAATGAATTTCTGGAAGGAGTTCCATTTACAAATTATGAGGCCATTCATTTCCTCCACCAGGGGAAAAAGAAAGGACTTATCAAGTCAAACGAGGGCTGTGCCTGCTTTTTATTACAGTGGGAAGAAAATCCAAATGTAATACAGAATTATTTTTTTCACCCCCCCACCCCCACCCGCCGCGTTTATCTGAAAGCTCAAACATCTCACCTTCGCTCAGGAAATTGCTAGTTCTTTCTACAGGCTGCTCCCCACAGCTTAAAAAAAATATATCAACAAGTCCTTTCCATCAATGTCTTAATTTGGTCAATGTATTGATCTGACCTTTGGATTGAACTTCTGATTTTTTTTAAGGCGGGTGGTTTTTATAGTTCACCATCAAATATGAGCCATATTTCTTATTCCACGGAACCTGCCGGCTAGGAAAGCAGGATGCTCTTGACTTGTCAAGCAGGGATATTTATCACTATTTTGGTGAATCATGCTTGCCGATAGTATATGTGGGCCGGGCCATTGGCTCTCCTCTCTTTTTGCAAAAGATAAATTATTTTGATTTCTGCGCAGAAGGCTTTCAAAGAGCAACAGTCAGAAAACTGCTCGACAACATTTTAGCCTTCTAAGATTTGGGGTTAGTGAGTGAAAAAAATGACATCAATCCTCAAAGCTAAACTCTAGGTAAAGGTAAAGGTTCCCCTCGCACATCTGTGCTAGTCGTGCCCGACTCTAGGGGGCGATGGTGCTCATCCCCG